GGTTTTTGGTTTTCACAAACCCCCAAGAAGTCAGAAGGATGACCTCCAAGTTACAGTAAGCATGCACATCTCTCTCCCTCACTTGGTTGAGCTATTTGGGAGCCTAGTGAAAAAAAAAAATTCCACATCTCGTTATTCTACTTACCTCGTAAACCCCAAGAAGCTGAACTCTGACCACTTACCAAAAACCTGGAATTTCAGTACAAGATATCACTCATTTAGGATTAATTTCTTGTCTCAGGGTAGTGAAGTTGTGAAATTCTTTATCTCAGGAGGGTTGTGGAAGCTCTCATATATTCTAGGCTGAGGTAGATAGATTTTTAATCAGTAAGAGAATCAAGGGTTATGACAACAAAGTAAAGCTCAGATCAGCCATAATGTCTTCGAATGGCAAAGCAGACTCATTGCACTGAATGCCGTTCTTTTGCACCTGCATTTATTATCTAAAGAGTTCACAGAAGAAAGAAGTGATAAGTGAGATTTGTAAGAAATATCAAAAAGATGACGACATTGGCCATAGTTAAGTCAGCACTTAGCAAAAGAGATTTCATTGAGGTAGTGATCATGGATTTTGAGACACGGGACAGAAAAAGAACATTTTATAGATTTGACAACTTGATTGTGTCAGTCAACAATAACATAGTAAAAAGATAAGAAAATAATTGTGGGTAAGATAGTGGAAAAGTGGACAGGGACCCAGACTTGGACCACTGGCATAATTTTTCACTGATAATAAGGGTGTGAAGATGAATTTAATTATGAATACAGCAGCGGAGAGACCCCTTTTAGCAAAGGGTTGTGTTTCTTAGCAAATGGCTCACAAAATGTTGTCACCTCATCCAAACTTAAAATATATAGTCTGCACCAGCATGGGCTCTACATGCTAAGAATTAGTTAAAGCTGGTGGGAAAGTATATTCCATATCAGTTCCATCAGCATTAAATGATCAGACCTAGCCTGGGCTACAATTGTTTCTACGTTTTCCAGAGCATTTAAATGCAGTACACACAGGCAGAAATGCTTTCTTTAAAGTCAAAGTCTATTTGGTGAGCCTTAAGGTAAAAAGGTATTGCCATTAAAAACCAGCTTCAATCTGGGAGATACTATTTATAGTAAGAGAGGGGCTTAAAGAATGGACAGGCCCAGGAACATTATTAGTAAAGACTGATTGCATGGCATGGGAATCAGATTGTTCAGGTACTTTAAGAATGCTTGGTATGGATTACAAATTTGCAGAGATTCTGAAGGAGTGAAAGAAAGTAGTGAGAAACCAGATAAATACTTTCTAATCAACTATTCAGAATGTTACGACACTTGTGGAGCAGGTGGTACTTGAACCCTGGCCTCCTTGCCCATAGGTAGGGATGCTACCACTATAGCACAAGAGCCCCTTGAACTAGGTAAAGCTTTTGGGTAGCTATTCTGCAGAAAGCAGTGTTGAAAAAGGACAGTTAGTCCTGTGACATGTTTACACCTTGCAGATGTTTCCTAATCAAGCAGTTGAGATATTACTACACATTTCTGGAGCAGATTGGACTTCAACCTGGGTTGTCTGGCTCAGAGGTATGGACACTACCACTAAGCCCTTTGAGGAACCAGAGGTTCTCATACCCAGATGTAGGTGCAAAAGAAGGGCATTCAGCACAAATGTGTCTGCTTTGCCATTCAAAGACATCATGGCTGATCAGAGCTTTACTTTGTTGTCATAACCCTTGATTCTCTTACTGAGGAAAGATCTATCTACCTCAGCCTAGAATATAGGGGAGCTTCCACAACCCTCCCGAGATAGATGTGAAAGGATCAAACTGCCACAATTGATAGATGATGGCCAGATCTGCTCTGATGGTCAATGAGGCACTGTGACTCAGTGGTTAGCACTGCTGTCTTATTGCCAGGAACCTGGGTTTGATTCCAGCCTTGACTAATTGTCTGCGTGGAGTTTGCATGTTCTCTCCTAATCTGCATGTTTTTTTTGCCAGATGTTCTGATTTTCCCCCAAAACACAAAGATGTGCAGTTTAGGTCAATTGGTCATGCTAAATTGTCCAGGCTAGGAGGGTTACCCATGGTAAAAGCAGGGTTATGGGGTTAGGATGAGGCTGTGCCTAGGTGGGGTGCTCTTCAGAGGGTGAGTGCTGACTTGGTGGGCCAAATGGCCTCTTTCTGCACTATAGGAATTTTAATACTATGAGACCATTAGTCCTAAAGTACAACTAGCAAAAAAGTGGATACTAAAATCAAATATGTACCAGAAGAGGTTAATCAATGGAAAAAAATTTTGTTTCTTGTGGGAAAGGGAGGTAAACATTGCCCTTCTGCTCATGATGCTCAAGAGATCAGAAGAAGTTAAAAGTACCTAGCGGTAAAGGCTCTTGCTTAGTGAGGTGGTTGACAAGACTTTTTCTTAGTCACAAAAAAACTGGAAGAAATGCTGTAGGATACAGCAGTAACGGCCATTGGGTGTTGTGCAAGTTACTATGGAATGTTGTACACCAGTGAAACGAGAGACTGAAAAACACTGAGGATTGATACTGCAGTTTTGAAACACAGTGGAGAATGAGGAGATTGCCAAGATTAAATGGATGGATGGCAGCATTCAGTTATCTGGCTGTTTACAGAGAAATCAGCAAGTTCTAAGAAACTGTTCAAGGAGTAAGATATTGTTCTTAGGGCAAAAAGAATCAAACAGTATGGGAAGAAAGCAGGAACAGGGTACTGAATTAGATGATCAGCCACGATCTTATTGGAAGTTGCAACAGGCTTGAAGAGCTGATCGACTTACTCCTGTTCCCATTTAATGGGGTTACGTTGAAAATGTGGATAACAAAAAATAAATAAAGTCCACAAGCAGTCAGGAGAATTACTTGTTGCTTTTCTTCTGCCTAGATAAAAACAAAAGCACATTCTTGCCACATACTGGGCCCAGCCTTTGATAGCAGGATCAAACAAGTCCAGCTTCTCAAATAATGGCATGATGCCAGAAATGCTTACCCCAACTCAAAGACAATTGTTGGAGCAAATCTCTTCAGGGGCATATTTTTCTTGTCACCACTAAAAAAACTCCATGAAGCTTGATACCCTATTGCCAAATCACTATTTACATATGCATAGTACATGACACTGACCCAGCTCCCAGTCAACACAAACCCTGAAACTCCAGTTTGTGTGTGTTAGGACTCCCTGATGGGGCTGTTAATCTGGTCCAATCAGGAAACTCACTCTACAAAAGGTCCACCTGGCCAACCTCATTACAATCACTTTACTAGGGGGTCAGAGAAGAAGAAGTGAACAAACCTCCAGATATGGCTGCAAGACTTTTTCTCAGAGGAAGTATTTGGCAACCAAAGTTTCCATAACTCAGTATTGATTACCTTTTAAAACCAGAAAAGCTGAACTGGAACACCTAAATATTTGAATACAGCTTGATTTTTCATCCAAACTGATGCTCTTCCATTCAGAAAGTCTTCCATTGTATTTCTTTCATAAGAAATTTGATTTCATCCACAAGAAGTCTCATGGATCATGAAAATTCATCAAATTCTAATCCTTGTACTACAAACCATTTAAAATCCTAGTTAGCTACTTCCCCATCAAAGAGAAATATTGGATACTGGAAATTTGAAACAAAATGCTGAGAAACTCAGGTCTAGCAGCATTTTTGTGTAGAGAGACACACACGCAGACAGTTAACATTTCAAGAGTTCTACCAAAAAATGTCACATCATACTATAAGTGTTGCTTCTCTTTCTACAGTTGCTGCCAGACTTAGTTTCTTCAACATTTTTCTATGATAAAAGCCCTTTGATTGATTGACTGGCTATCATGTGTACCAGAGTACAGTGAAAAGCTTTGTTTACAAGCAGTACAGGCAGATCATTGTAAGCAAGGATATACAAATCAAAAGTTGTAAACAAAAACTTAAGAGGCATACAGGTCACATTGCACAGGATATGCGATAAGCAACGTCGCCCCCTCCTACTGAACGTTCCTCTCCAGTCATCAGGATTGACACTCTCAGCTGTATGACGCACAAAACCATGCCTATTTCCAAGTGTACTATTCGTTACAACAATGCGTTTCATTTTCGTACCTATTGCTTCAAAACGTCCCCTGCCCCAGGATGGCTCTGGAATAAAATCAACTTGGACAATACTCATTCCCCTGACACACAGAAAAAATAAGACCCTATCCGAAAGAAGTGACCAACCCCTGTACAGTGTGTTTAGGCTCCTTTCCCGATGTTTTGCAACGCCTGTAGCGCATACCAAATGTTTGCTCAAGACTACACGGGTGTCCACAAGCAACACATGACTTACTCTACCACCTTCATCATATACCAGCATTTTTATTAAACAATAATCACTACTGCCAACAACCTTTGCTGTTATCATTAAACCCTATACAACTAATGCCTTATCACTGTGATACCACACTGCTTTCTCTCCAAAACAACGTATAGCCTTTTCAGAGGCTGCAGTCCGATTCCAGGTTTCCCTCTCTCCAACTTCCTTAAAAGAAACTAGACTTTTTACGTTCTTGTTCTCTCTCACAAACTCGTCTCATTTCTCCCTATCCTCGTCTTTGTGTCGCTACCAGTACGCGCTCGCGCGCCCTTTAAATCTCCCGCCAATTGCCGGGGGCGTTACGATATGGGGGCGGTGCCTGTCGACGATGCTCTGAGCGCAGATTGGTGGGTTGTGGTTATCTTTGAGATCAATCTGTCTATGAATGGCTGTTTGATATGTCAGTTGGGTGTCGTGGCTCGAGCGAGAAGAAAAGACGATACTGGGAGCGCGCACGAAGCACCGAGCGGATACCGGGAAAGCGACCCATTTGGGGGTGGGGGAGGAGTGACCGGTAGCGTGTGGGGGGCGGGAGGAGTGACTGGCAACGAGCGGGAACCTGTGGCGGAGCGACGGGCAACGACCTGGTGCGGGGGGTGGGGGCCGGGAGACCGCACTTTCTGAGCCGAACGCCGTGTGTAAGCGGAGGCACCAAAAAGATGCAGCCCCCGGGCCGCGTGGCGATGGATGTGCGGGTACAGGATGTGGAGAAACGGAGGAATCCGAGCAAACACTATGTGAGTTCAGGACAGGGAGCGGTAGAGGGTTGGGGATAGGGGAGGCTCCATTCTACAGCTGGAGTGGGGACTGGCTCCGGACTGCTCCACATTCGGGGCATGATATTCAAATAGTCTCCCTAGTGAATTATATCTGTGTTTGACTTTAGTAGTTTGAGGTCTTTTAAAAAGTTTCATGGGTAGAGTGTGCCGGCATTTGCTGCCCATCCCTCATTGTCCTTGAGAGGTTGGTGGTGATTACATTTATCTACTTGGATTTGAAAATTTTATGCCTTTTTTGTTTGTGTATTATCTCGATAAGTTTAAAATTCTTTCAAAGGAGTAGCCACTTTAAAGATGTCCATCAGTTTCTTTATAGTTTTTGGGTAATGTCTTAACCCAAATTGTCCTTGTAACAACATCAAGGATTTGTTTCCTATTGTTTAAAGTATTTGCTACAGTATGGAATTCTGTCAAAACTTTGATAATGTTTTCGTGTTACAGTTGCGTATTTGTCCCAGTGGAAACATGTCACATAGATTGCTTGGACTTGATCTTTTCATCTCATACAGTCAATGATATGGAATCAAGAATTGGTCCATTGCAGGGGTGTGGGGTGCTATTTGGATTGTTTGTTGGCACTACCCTGTCAAATGAGCAGTTCTTTAGTGCTATTTCCCCAAACTGCCTCCTGTAACTTTGCATGCTTCATCGAACCTGCCTCTCAAGCAGTGGAAACCATTTCTCCCCATCTACTATATCCAAATCTCTCATGGTTTTGAATACCTCCTAGTAAGACTCCTTGGGTGTTCTGGCCAATACAGGATTTGTGATAGTTGACATCAACAATTCTTGATTGAGAGGAACCATTTGTTTTGGATACTTAAACTGTTCATCTACATAATATTTTGTTACTGCTGCTAGGAAGAATTTAAACTTTGGAAACCAAGGTGCATGGAGAATTGAGAGGGATAGAGAGCACTGAATTAGTAGTAATTATTAGGTTTCCTGTAACATTGCTAAAAAGAGATGTGAAGTTGAAGTGTTTTGCCTTGCGCTCATTAGGACTAAGGTGCAAGAAAATTTTTTAGAAAAGTGCTTAAAAACTGAATATCCTGAAGAAACTCATTAGATATGGCAGCATCTGTAGAGTGAGAAATAGTTACTTTTTTGAATCCCAAGACTTTTTTTCACAGAACTTTCTCCATTTCTCTCTCAACAGACCCTGCCAGACAAGCTAAGCTTCTCCAGCATTTATTTCAAATTTCCAACATCCACACTATTTTGCTTTAGAGTCTTAGAGTCTGTTTCCATGCTGTACGACTGTTCGATCCAACTAGTCTGACCATGTTCTCAAACTAAACTATTCCCACCTGCCTGTGTTTGGCCCATATCCCTCCAAACCTTTCCTATTCATGTACTTATCCAAACTTCTTTTAAACATTGCAATTGTATCTGCATCCACCAGTTCCTCTGGCAGCTTATTTCACACACTAAGCACACTTTGTGTTGTAAAAAGTTGACCCTTGTGTCCTTACTAAATCTTTCTCCTGTCACCTTAAAAATATGCCTCCTAGTTTGAACCCTCTCACCATAGGGAAAAGACCTTAGTTATTCACCTTAACAATGCTTTTCATGATTTTACAAGCATCTATAAGGACACACCTCAATCTCCTACGCTCCAATGGAAAAAGTCCCAACTTTTCCAGTCTATTTTTATAACTCAAACCCTTCATTCTTGGCAGCATTCTGGTAAATCTTTTCTGAACCGTCTGCAGTTTAACCATATTCTTTTTATAACATGGTGACCAGAACTGCACGCAGTAGTCCGGAAAAGACCTTGCCAACGTTCTGTAAAACTTTAACATAATGTCCCAATTCCTGTGCTGATCAGTCTGAGCAATGAAGGCAAGCGTTCTACATGCCTTCTTAACGAGCCTGTCTACCTGTGGCGCAAATTTGGAAGAATTATGTACCTGAACCTGTGGGTCCCTCTGTTCTACAACACTACCCAGGGTCCTGCCCTTATTTTTTTTCTACCAAATGCAATACCTTGCATTTATCTAAATTAAACTCCATCTGCTATTCCTCAGCCCATTGGCTCAATTGATCATGATCTCTTTGTAATTTTAGGTAACTCTCTTCACTGTCCACTCATGAGCTGCCAAAGGAAGTGGTGGAGGTGGGTACAAGTACATTTAAAGGGTATATAAATAAAGGGTTTAGAGGTGTGTGGGCCAAATGCTGGCACGTGGGACTAGGTCAGTTTGGGATGTCAGGTTGACACGCACAAGTTGGACTGAAGGGTCTGTTTCTGTGGTGTATGACTCTAATTATAACTATTATATCACCAATTTGGCATCATCCGCAAACTTATTAACCGTGTCTCCTATATTCTCGTCCAAATCGTTTATATAATTGACAAAAGTGGACCGAGTACTGATCCCTGTGAAGCACTGCTGGTCACAAGCCTCCAATCGAAAAACAACCTTCCATCACCACCGTCTGTCTCCTACTGTAAAGTTAATTTTTATCCAACTGGCAAGCTGACCGTGAATTCCATGTGATCTAACTTTACTAATTAGTCTACCGTGTGGAACCTTATCAAAAGCTTTACTAAAATCCTTTATTTTAGAAAATTGAACAATATATACAGCATAAGGAGAGGGCGCTAATGGTTTGTATGGAGATGCAGCAGTGACAGTTAACTGATTAAATTGCACCAAGCAAGTCAACTTTGATTCGTCAGGGCATTGCCGTGGAGATGCAGCTGAGATTAACTGTCTCTACAGCTCTTTCTTCATTGTACAAAAGGTGCAATACGTGGAGGTTAATTTTTCCCAGAAATAATAGGCCCATATGTGTGAATAAATGCAATTTCCAGCATGCTACCAGTACTGATGATCTTCGATTTGTTACCATTGTAATTCTTAGCACAGTTTGGATTATTAAGTTAATTTTATTTAGCAACAGAATAACATTGACTGTTGAACACTATGTTCTGAGTTTTGCAAGGCTGGTTTGACTACTGTGAAACACTGCCTGCTGAAAATAATCAAAGAAGTGTGATGTGCTGTTTGCTGTGGTTCATCAGTTGTTGGAAGGTGTGCCATACTGGCCATCATACCAGCACTGCAATAAAAGGACGTGCATTCTGGGACATTGAGAAGTAAGATAGAGGTTGAGAAAATTGCAATGGGCCATAATACTTCAACACTTTTTAGATACATGGTTGGTGTCATAGGATCGGAAGAATTGCAGTTGTTCAAAATGGATGTAATGCCTACTAATTACAGGTCAATCAGCTTGGTCCCAGATTATAACGTGGAGCAAAATTAACAGTTGCAGGCTGTGGACAATTCACAGAAATCGACATGGATGTGCTAAGAGAGAATAGTACATAACTGATTTGTTTTAAAAGTGCCGTCCTGAAATAACAAAGGTGAAATGCGTGTCATGTTGTTGATTTTGTGTACATGGACTTCCAAAAGGCTTTTCATAAATTGCATGTCAGCAAAAGCAGAGCTTGTGGCACAAAAGGGAAAGTAGCAGTATGCATGCAAAATTGGCTAGATGGTTGGAAAGTGTAATTGTGAACATTTTTCAAGAATCAAAGAAGGACTGTAATTGGTCCCCCACAGGGACTACAGATTTCTGCTTTTCTTACTTAGGAGCATAGTCTATTCCTGTTCATGTGTCCCATCTGGTTCTTTTAGCTTTCTGTGCCATTTGTAAGGTCATCACCTGATTTGATTGCAGTCTCAACTCCACTTTTACTGTTTCTGCTCCCTGTTTGTCTGAAAAAAAGCCCTTAGCTGTCACCTGTTTAACTCGATCATGAATAGATTCACTGACTCAATTTCCACTGCTTTCTGGGAAACACCATTCCACAAAGTAACAAACGAGTCATTTTAAAAAAAATCTCCTCCACTCCACTCCATTTTAAAAGGCAGCCTCTTATTTATAAATGCCTTGAACTAGTCTCCCCCCAGAAGAAATGTTCTCCCAATAGTCCCAGATAATTCTTCTCAGGATTTCACGTTTTAATAAAACATCTCCTTGTTCTTAACTCCAATGGGTACAGACCCATCATGTTCAACTTTTCTATATTAGATAAATGCTCCATCCCAAGAATGATTCAAATTAAACTTCTAATAACTCATTTTAACAAAATTCTATGCTTTCTCAAATAAGGAGAACATGTATGCAGTACTGAAGATATATTCTCACTATGGCCCTGTATAGCTATGGTAAAATTTCCTACTTTTGTATTCCATTCCTCTTGCAGTGTACCCAAGGGTGGAATTAGATTAATTCTTTTTCTCTTAAAGAGAACATGCAAAGTAAGCTTGAGGGGCCAAATGGCCTACTTCTGCTATCTTGTTCGTTTGGATGGAAAGAACATGTTTAACAAATTGGACTGCCCTTTGTGCACTCCATCACAAGTTCAAATTGTACTGGAGTACTCTCATGCGCTGCCTTTTCTTTATATAAGTGCGGGCAATCAGTTAATGGGTTCTCCATGACTGTCAGCTGTAAGTCTGCTTTCACTGGTCAGTATGCCGGTTGTGATTCACATAGCTGTATACTATACAATTGCGCTATATGATTGGCCTTGATAGCATACTTGTAGGGGCTATAGCTCAATTGCATGCCTGATGCAGAAATCAAAGATATCAAAAGTAACCTGTGAAATTGTGGCTATTCTGATTGCATTACTGTTATAGAGTCATAGAGATGCACAGCACAGAAACGGGCTCTTTGGTCCAACTTTGCCGTGGCCGATCAGCTTTTCTAAATTAATCTAGTTCCATTCGCCAGCTTTTGGCCCACATCCCTCTAAATCCTCCCTATTCATATACCCATCCAGATGGCTTTTAAATGTTGTTGTAGTTGTACCAGCCTCGTCCACCTCCTCTGGCAGCTCATTCCATATATGCACCACTGTGTGTGTGTGTGTCGGGGGTTGGGGGGGGCGGGGGTGGTGGTGTGGAAGTTGCCCCTTAGGTCCCTTTTAAATC